CAACAGCACAATACTGTTTTATCACACAATATTGTTTTATATAAGTGTCTACAGCATGCTTTTTCTCATTGCGCACCACTGCATGATCAGGTTATTAACACAATACTGTTTCATCACACAGTATTGCCTCATATGAGTGTCTACAACATGATGCCTTTTCTGATCGTGCGCTGCTGTACGATTGGGTTATTAACACAATACTGTTTCACCACATGGTATTGCTTCATATGAGTGTCTACAACATGATGTCTTTTCTGATCGTGCACCGTTGCACGATCAGATTATTAATGTGATACTGTTTCATTACATGATATTGTTTCATATGAGTGTCTGTAGCATGTTCTTCCTGATTGTATGCTGCTGCACGATCAGGTTATTAACACAATACTGTTTCACCACATGGTATTGCTTCATATGAGTGTCTACAATATGACGTTTTTTCTGATTGCACGCTGCTACACGATCGGGTTATTAACACAATACTATTTCATTACATGGTATTGCTTCATACAAGTGTCTACAACATGATGTCTTTTCTGATCGCGCGCCACTACACAATTGGGTATTTTTCTTGTTAGCCACTGAATATTGCTATTTGACAGTATTTATATCTGAAAGTGCTCTCCAGAGTGCATTTTACCCTTTTCACAGTGCTTGCAGATTTTTAATCACACAACCCACATTTAACCACCAACACCCCTTTTAAAAAAGGGTAGAATCACAACGCGAGCAGTCATAATGCCCATCACGCACCCATCTAATGCCATCGGCTTCAGCACATGGTGTCCACAGTACTGCCCCTTCTTGGGGTCCCATGGCGCAAGGTATAAGTACTTCCTGGAATGCACTGATGAGTGTCATCACAAAAGCCTCCAGAGTTTCTACAAGAACTCGGACCTTCACATTCTAGTCTCACCCTCAGCAACATCACCTTGCCTTGCTTCTCTCAGCTTGGCTCCCCCTAACTCCAATCCTCTGTGGAGGGTTATATAACTGACTGTATATTAGATTCCATCAAGTTTTCTAGTAAGTTTGCTTTGTTTTGTTTTGGCTGTGCTTGCAACAATGTCCGAAGCCAAAGCGAGGAGCATACTTGCAAGCACTAATTTAGTAGTGCGCAGGGACCGGTTTGTGCAGAAGATGAGAGTGGAGGTCCATGTGTATTGTGAGAGGGTAAAATCAGGACAGAAAATGCAGTTCACTGACAAACCGTGAGAAGGAGAGGTAATGCCAGTGCTTTGAAATATGTAACACTCTAGGTGATTGATGTTCTCTTGAATGCTGTTTGCATGACTGCTGTAATAGTGGCCGATTTGTTCGTGGTTGGAGTACACTTAGCGATGAGCTGCAGCCTTTCTGTGCTAATAAATTGATAAATAAATTTCAATTAAGTGTCTCTGTGGCCGACCTTCTGGTCCTCACCTTCTGCAGCGGCTCAGAGCAGCGGGCACACCATCTTGGCTATAGCGGACCAGAGAAAAACTGGAGGGGATGAGTAGCAATTTGACTGGCTGAGCTAAGCCTGGCTTTAGATAATAAATCTACTGTATTTAGTACCAGTGCTAGAGTAGTCAGCGATAATTTCCTAAAATATTATGTTATATTATTTTGTACTGTATTAATCTTTCAATTTACACAAATTAATACATCACTACTGAGACTGAGCTTCACCACAAAGAAATGTAGCGGGGCACCAGTGCTTGCTCTGCTTAACAAGCTGCCATGTAACATTGAGAACCTCTGTCTGAACGGCTTTGCAGTGTTCTGCTGCGCATAGAAGGAGCTATATGTTCAGACAGGTGCACCTATTTGGAAGGGCAACACCTTTCCGTTCAAGATGGCAGGGTGAGTGCCAGAGACCCCTGGCTGCCTCACGTCCAATGCCCGCCTGGCCACCGCCTCTTCTCTGGGCACCCTTTACCGTGACTGCATGCGCGTCGTGTCACGCATCTCACCTCTGCCTCTACTACGCCATGCAAATGCAGTGGCGCATTCTGAGGTCACATTTGCGGCTGGCAGACAGGCATCAATAAAGACTGTTATTGCTAATGTTCCGATGGACAATGCTGGAATGTCACTGGCAACCACTCTTACATGCACCAAATCAAAGCCAGCTATGACTTCAAGGGAGCGAATGATCTAAATTACCTGGGCCAGTCACTCCTGTCACCAGTCATTCAGAGGCCGCCGCAGTCTGTGCACACTTCTGAGCAGTGTTGAACAGCTTCATAGCACAATGGCGTCTGCAGAGCACTCACATTGTGGTACTGTGCAATGTGCACACCAGTGAACGAGCCCTCAGATAGGCATGAGATGGCCTATTTGGGCGCAGCCGCTTGAGGGCATGCACGGAATGTCACATTACACCTTCTGCAGCCTGCCGGTACTGCTGGCACCCCTGAATGTGACAGGTGTCTGCCGTGTTGTGTCAGCCTCTGCTGTTCATGGCCACCACTCATGTGTGCCTCATTTTCGTGCATTTTATTCGATGTGCCCTCTCTTTCTTCCATCTTCCTTGGTGGTAGAGAAAGAATTGGCCCAGGATCTTGCTGAGACGGTCTTGAATGCGCAGGAGGCTTCCAGCCAGGGATCTTGGAACCTTGCTCTTCCAGACAGCAAGGATATGGACCTGTACAAGTAGCTATGATGATGTAAAATGCACAGATGCGCTGGTAATACAAGTGTTGCAATGCTTTTCTTGTTTGTATAACGTTCAAGTTTCTGAACAACTTTATTGACATTCTACATCTATGTTATACCTCAAACTATGTATTTAGGCCTCATAATATGCAAGAAAACTATTTACATGCTGTACATGATTGTGTGTCTATGTGTGGCAGCTGTGGAACTATTGACAGGGTCAATCCACAGCTGCACTTGCCTAATGAGAATGCAAGCCAGGGTCCATTATGGCTTGGGGCAGCTTGGGGCTTGGCTTGTGTTTTAGCAAGCTTAAGGCTGGCAAAGCCGAGCGAGGCAAGTCACTACTCGCTGTGGACAACTTCTTCATATCCTGGATCAGCAAAAAAATAGGCGGCTTACATAGTCTGGGCAGCCCTGGCAAACTTGAAGCTAACCTTGTTTACAAAGATAATCCTTCTGGAAACAGGTATACCATTGTGGATATGGCATCTCTGTGCTTTATCGAACTTATCAGACTGGGAATCTTTAGAGGACAAAAGTGATGTCTTTGCAAAGCTACGCGAAGTACATGGATACGGACAAATGCCATGAACATGTCAGTAATGTCGAAGTGGCTGCACTGCACCACATATGTCACTCACACTGTAAGTGTTCAACTACAGCCTGAGGCAGCGGCGCGCAATCACAAAAATGAGGAGGGTTGATGTCAATAACGTCCAAGCAGCAGCTTCTAAATCTGTCGAGCTCACATCGATTATGATAACATGCACATTCCAGAAGATGAAACTCACCTCCTTTAGGCGAAATGGTCTCTCCACAAGGCTTGAAGCTACTTGAAGGATCATCATGCGCCAAAGGTGGCAATAGACAACTCAATGGACCTTTAGAGGAGAGCTAAATCTTGGTGGCGAGCGATCTCTTGTAGAGGTCCTCATGAAACAATCATCTGCCAGAGGCTTACCACGGTCTTAGGCCATGAGAGTCAACCAGGAAGTTAACATGTGTCAGCAGATGGACAGGTGTAGAAAGGTTGAATTGACAAGCAGAGTCTGAAACTGGACATAGAGTTCAAATTTGATGCAGCAGTCGTACAGTCATCGGGCATAGATCGATTTGCCAGAGGTAGATCGCAAGGCCCGCTCAATCTATCTTGGAGGGATGGCTGACGCATCGGTCTATTGTCAGCAGGTGGTTGTACACAGTTGTCTGCAGGACAAGGAGGCACAGGGGAGGGGACAGATGTTGGAGCCTTAGCAGAGCTTTTTGCAACGTTCCACGCTGGCTGGTCAAGTAGGCTTTGTCAGATACAGCTCAGCCATTGTCAAGTTTGGGATCTTATGCATGGAGGCAAGCTTGCCTGAAACACTAGATATACATTCATTTATTATGTTCGTTGTTGTGACTTCAGTGCGGACGGCATGACACGACTTGCCACCAAGCGCAACAAAGCTCAGCCTCTGCTGATGTCCATCTTGCTACATCTCAGTCCTTGAAGCTGCCAGAGCTGCACAGCAAAAAATGAGTCAGTGCTCACTGTGGTTTTCAGTGTTGAGCGCGTTGAACGTCGAGCGCTTGAGCCTGCACTAGGCTGCACTCTTGGTGTACGCAATAAATGCATTACAGAGTCGCTCATTAAACCGCAGGGTCTATCTCCAGCCCAAGCCATACAGTCTCAATCTAAAAAAAGACTGTGGTTATTGTAAAAATAATTATGGCATGTACTTCACTTTCTATTCCCCTGTGAGTGCAGCCCAACAAACAGCACACTTTGTAGGTTATCCAGCGCAAGATTGCTTGGAATGTCAGTAGGAGAATAATGCCAGCTCTAGGATGCGGTCATGGAAGAGAAAGTCAAGAAAGCGAGAATAGTTCGAGGGCAGAATGGAGGGCACACTTTGAAGGCCATAGTTCTGCTGCTAGACGGCGCCAGTCAGAAACTCAGAATTAATGTCTTAACTGTGCATCTCTACCTGTGCCATCTGATTAATCTGCTGATGGACAGCCAGGTGACAAGTGGAATTCAACTATCAGTGGGCTGTGCTTGTCAAGAATAAAGACTATGGATGAGGACAAAAATGAGTGGCAGTGGATCTGTGTACGCAGGCTGTCTCGTGAGACAGAATCACCATGTGCATTATCGCGCCATCATATCCTAGTCCAATATATGTGCAGCATCAGCCCAAACAAGCCATGGGGAATGGTTCAGTCTCAAAGCTGTGCATGGGGAGTAGCTCGAAATTAGCAGCTGCACTGGACTGCACCTCCCAGGATCATGTGCATTGTTGTGCACATATAACAACCTCTTGAACTGCAGACCAGAGCTGTTATTGTCTCTGCCTGAATAATAGAGTGTAGTGCTAGCTGCTGCGCAGCATCTGCAATTGCTCATCTTCAACTTTGAGTCTTCGAGGTTTGTGAATGGCTTCAGGCCAGAAAACATCCATAACTTGTTCTTCGAGCACATGCCCCTGCGCCATGCTCAGGATCTCGATGGCACAGAAAAAGGGGAAATGCCTCCGCGCATGGTGCACACCTACAGCGACTTCTGTCACTGTTTGTGGACCGTTCGCGAGGTTGTTGCCTGTGAAATAGTCATCCAAGCTATGCTTGAGCCTGGGTGATGATGTCAGATTAAAAACTAGTAAGAAATGAAGGGGCGCACCACCAAGCATCCGTGTGCAAGCTCGGGTCGACAAAAGTACACTGTTAAGATGTGCCCAAAGCACCTTGCCAATGGCAGGACTTGTAAATGATGGTCATTAACATCTGTGCCCACTTTAGCGAGCACCTATATCAGACACATCGCCGTGTGAAGTATAACATAGTTTATAGTGCCCGTGTTATGCTAGATACACATGCTGTACACAGTCGTAGTGTTACAAACAAGTCAATTATTCCAAAATTACAGTAGCAGAACACTCCTTGTCAGTGACAGTGGAGCGCGATAAAACTTTTTCCAAACCTGCTGCAAAAAGAAATCTTATGCTCCCACATGCACCTGCCGACCTAAACCACACACGTCGGCTTGACATCAAACATTGCCCTCAGCTCATACACCCTTTCCATCAAATGCTCTGCCTATATCCGCACCTTCAAGCTCCGGTGCACATACACCAGATGTGTTTCTTGCTCCGGGATGACACCCACGCAGCTCACGACAAAGTTTCCATACACCTCTGCCTTCCACTGGCCATTCATGGCGTGCTGCGCATAGTAGCACATTGGCAGCAGTTCAAGCACTCACTGGCTGTGGGCAGGCCTGAGCTAGTTCTACACTGAGCTCAGCACGTCTGCGACATCTTCCTGTTCACTTAGGCGTGCGCCAATGGTACTATCGGGCATGAGCATAGCAGCTCGGAGCACTGGCATGTATCTGGGTACAAGCACACAGCTTCGAGCCCGATTCTGTGCAAGAGCTCGGCGTAAAAATGAGTGGTGGTGTTCATGAGGAAACACTGGCGCACCGTACACTGCACGGGATATGTGTCAAACTGCGCCACTCACCGAGCTGCCACCAATGTCTGCACAAATATGTAAGCACGGGCTGCATGGAATAATTTTCTTTTGATACGGTGTCCTGTGACCCACACCTCCAGAGTGTGTCTTGAAAGCATGGCGCTATTGTTTGAAGAATTTGTGCTCCATCGTTTTCTGCCCAGCATCCAGGTGACCAGCGCAAAGTGGGCACCTTGTGTTGCTTCGCATAAGCTCCTTGTCTGGCGATCACAGCAAATCCTGTGGTACATGTCGCAGGTGATTCGCCAAGGCGAACAAAACCGGCACCAAGTTCAGGTCTACAACATTAAACAATATCGGCAGGAATAGTGTGACATTGAGGATGGCCATCACACAGTTGTAGCACTTCTTCTAACTGCGGGCATAAGCGCAAAGGACTTGGTGGGGGCCAATAGCTGCAAGGTGTAGAATTCTGTCCAGGTCATTTGGCATTGTAGGTGCATGGAGTAAGGTTTCGGAACCGGCCAGCTCATCTTTGCTCTTGCACGCCTACTCTGGCAATTTCTCAGTGACTCCAAAACTTGACATGCATCTCGAAGGCCCAGAAACCTTGGCCTGAAGTCCGCTGAATCACAAGAGAGCTGAATAGCGCCCTGCTTGCTCTGCGACCATGACAGCATTAGCTGCCTGTCTGAGCCTCGCCATGGCGAGTGGTTCATTGATAGACCAACCTTGCCACTGCTGCCATTGTTGATCTTGGGTCATGTCTCCTCTTACTGGCCAAACAAGACAATCTGAGGTTTGTGTTCTGGTAGTGTAGATCGCTCGATATGGAGAAGATTGCACCTGAGGAATGTTGAGGTGTTCCATTGCGTGGTCAACAAGGCAAGAGTTCGAGCATGGGTGTGCAATAATACATTGAGTGAGCCTGTGACTATGAATGTTTGTGAGCAATGAAGAGGCCAAACAATTCCTGGACTCACTCTAGAACATAAGCATATGAACAATGCACAGATTATCATATATGGACCCTTCTAACTAGTGCAACTAACATGATGCAAAGTTGGGGTGGTTGGGCAGCAGCACATTGCAGGACGCAAGGGTGTTGGCAAAAAGGTGGTGAAAGAGCATACAGTGACAGATATAGGATATGAGAAGGGCGACATCAACTGGAGAGACAGACAGAGCTGGCGCTCTGTCTTGGAGCGCTGAAGATAAAGTATCAAAAGTGGAAGATGGTGATGAATGAATGCAAAGCAGATATTTCAGGTGTCAATTGAAGCTGCCGAAAGCCGACGCAAATTCGGCGCAATCCAGAGTTTGGTCCAGGGTGTCCAGGGAATTCAGCGTCAGCCGGCATTCAGAAGCACCAATGGGAGATGAACAATTTCACATAGAACAGGAGAGCAACGCCGCTCACTGCATGGACAGATCTTGGACTGTCGGATGGCTGTGCAATGAGTTTGTGCCATTTTGCTTCTCCTCCTTTCAGTCCTCGTTGGAGAGCTAATCTCTATCAACAGGTCAGTAGATGGTCTTGGTCATTTGTGCCTTGAGAAAGCTGCACACCTCACAGCTCAGCAGCCTACACGCTGCCAGCCCCTGGTCCATTCTCACTCAGTCTCCCAGCTGACCTCTCATTAATGCCTGCTGATTCCCAATAGACAAGGCGGAGGGCTGCATTTGGACTGTGGCATGTACCGAGTTTGCGGGCCAGAGAGCGTCAAGGGCGAGGGCAAGAGGAAAGATGATGCACACACGATCTGTCCCTGGGTGATGGATACGGTGTGACAGATCATCATAATGTGCTATCACTGATCTCACCTGTCATGTGTCGCGTCGGATTCTGGTCACTGCTGCACGCCACATCTTCATAATGTGATGCAAGCACCGCCTGTGCCATAGAACACTGTATCTTATCAGGAACTTGGACACTCAATTTTCACTCGCTCTCTACCAAACAAAACCAGCTGCTGTTGACAATGAGTCATGTATATACTGTCTGCTATCTATATATAAATTATTGTATTTTTAGAGAGCATATTGAGGGAGAAAGGCACAGATAGAATGTTACTTATCACACTTTTACTAGATATGATAACCACCTTGCAGCTCTTCTTGCCATAGATGCTCACCTTGGAGTAATCATACATTTTGGTGGCTTATGCTTGTATGAACCAGTAAAATACATCCATTTACATATAGAAAATGTATAAATGCCACAGGAAACAGATAACATACTATGTGAGAGCAGAGAGCTCTCCAGAGCCACTAGTACATGGAAAGAAGTGCTCATCAGAATTGCTTTATAGGATTATTTTGCTAATTTGGGTACTTATACTTCTATCTTATGTGTAAGAATAAGACTGGACATATTGCTGATTTTTGGAGGACCAGTTCTTAGCTGAGAGTTGCATTCAAGCTGGAAATTTATCTGAGGGACACTGATGTCTCCTAATCAAGAACCAAGGCCACTACTACTGGGGTATTACATGATTATATTATGTAACAGCCTGTGCTTCCATTATACAGACTTTTAGGACCCCCTATTACACTGTGAGCATTGCAGAGCCCAATGCAATAGCGAGAGAGAGTGCTCAGACACCTATTTAAGCACCAAAATTAGCCTGATTTGGCAGGGTTTGCCGCTGTCTGAGATCCTAGTAAATGGGTGGTTAAGCACACTCACACAAAATATTCATAGCATCGTACAAATGTATGGTGAAAATCTTCTATATTTTCCACTCACATATTTACTCGGTTTATAAGCCTCTCAGTATAATTTCTGTGGAAAACCTTCGTTCTCCTGCATGGGACACCATCTGATTTTAGGTGTCCAAGATTCTGATCAGATACAGTAGTACTCACAGTCGCATTTCCTCTCAGATTGCGACAGTCATCATGTATCATCGATCATTATCAAGTTACACTTAGAATACCCTCCTGTTGCCAGCCTCGGCCTGAAAATTCTCTTGTCTCTGGCCCATCCTTTGGCTCTATTCTCAAGCTTGATATGTGAGTAATTGCTACTAGCTGTGAAACATGACTTAGTAGTAACCCACATAGTAACTATTTCAGGCTATTCTGAGCCTGTTATAGCTATCTGGCAGTCAATTCTCACACAATCTAGCATTTAAGACATATCTATTACTCTCTGATATAGCAGCAATCAAAACATACACCCCATTTGGGAGATATGTTATAACATACTGTTTTGGGCGCTTATTTAGTTTTATGACATGAGAAGGTGGAGAACATATGTTGAAACATATTTGCTATACTAAATATATGCCAGAAAGCGAAATTGGGCCCGCTATTCACAGAATACTCGCTGGGAGTCGAGTTTTTGCAGTCTTAGCGCGGTCTTAATCTCCGCCAGCCCGCCATCAACCCGCCATCAGCCCGCTGGTGCCACAAAGCTGCCACTACCCGAGTTTCCGGCTCCTGAGCACCCAATGAGGTCACAGCATCAATTTCGCTTGTGGGGGCCATTCCTGGCTCAATTCCTCTCCTCTCCTTTGTCCAATGGACTCCAAACCTTCTAGGATATGTACCTATACCTATTTAGAGTAGTTATGTGCAGTTTAGAGCGAACACAACCACTGTATAATATACCATGCTTTTGTTTCTATTAAAAATCGAATTTTTCGGCCTGGACGTAGCAGAAGACCTTTTCCAAAGCTCCTACAGCTCTTCTAATATTATACACTCATAATAGATTGCATTGAAACCCTTTCCAAGAGTTTGGGAAGCCTGAGGCATCCACAAACTCTCTGTAGAGCCTGCGAGACTTGGCACAAAAATGGCACATATCAAATGTTTTTATATGCTGGGAGGTGTCGCTTTTAGCCCAGGATAGGACATCTATGGTTTATTTTCGATTCCAAGCCCTGGAAGCTGTTCAATTGAGCAGATCTTAGTGTTTTCTATGGGCGCCTATTTGCTGATCTTGTTGAAAACACCCCCTACTGGATCAACGACTTAAAATCAGATGGGCGGACCATTTCCAATCAACTCCTAGCCTATTAAAATGGAGGTATACAACTTTCGAAGTCCATGGGACATGTATTGGTGGAGTAGTGCATTAGTTAACCCCGGAGTGACACCTTGATCAAGTTCTGACCAGTTCAAAACCACCATCTGTGCACAGGTGTGTGCCTGGCTCCTACAGCATAGGTGGGAAGGGGATCACCACCTGGGAGGGTCAGAATATGTCAGAATACTGTGTATGTAGCTGCATTTAGCTTATCTCTGCCTGTAGGCTTCTGTACATCTGCATATGTGGTGTTTTTAAGCTCTGTTTGCATACCCATGTTGTTGAGTGTAGGTTAGCCCTTTCCCAGTGTGATAAGGCTCCACAGAGCTGTATATATTATTTACTAGTGCTAAGGCACCTGCATAACCATTTGTATCTAGCTGCATTCATTACTAAAGGCTGAGAACAGTGTCCAAGCTATCATGAGTGCAATAAGGGTTCTGGCCTCCTGCCTGCATCTCTGCATGTTATTCTGGCCTTGAAATTGCTTCCCTACACTTGAATAATATGTATATATATGTCTAGAGCCATCCAACTTTCTTTCAAGCTCTGTACAAGGTACAGGACCATCTGTTTCTGGTGCCCTTTTTCGCTTTAAAGATTATTTATTATCTATTACAATGTATACATCACAGGAAGACATGAGGGTTTAGTTCTACACTACAAAAGTATAGTAGAACCTATTCTAACACTTTCCCTAACAGTTCTATGAGGGAGAAAGGAAGGGGAGCAGGTGCAATAGCCTGCAGAAGCTGGTTTCTCGCGCTCTGGCGCTTATTTCAAATCCGGGAGTGCTACCATATATATCCAAAAACTAGCCGGCTCCTGGCGAGTTTTTTGTGAATAGCAGCCCAAATACTGGATTACTGGACTGCTTACCAATGGAGAACTTGTTTGTACATATGTTCTCCATGACATGATGCAAAAACATTCAACATGTAGCATGTTCAAAACATATGATATGTTTTAAAGTGCTTTACTACACTGGGATAATGTTTTGGCTTAGTCATCTTTTCAGAAAGTTGGTATATACCGTATGTAGTCTAATTTCAAGCTCAGACACCTTTATTTGGACTATTGCAGCCTAAAACAGTTGCTACCTGGATTACTACTATATCATGTTTCATGGCTTGTAGCAATTACTCACATATCAAGCTTCAAACCTGGGCTAACGCCTCACACGCATTCCAGCGGCTCTCGATATCATGTCTCAAATGGAACTTCATGCTTCTGTCTATCTGCTGACTCCTACAGAAGATGCAGTGTTCTTAGTTCTAGGCAGAGAAGAACACGGCGAAATGTTTGGCTGGTCTGAGTGAGTACATCAATGATCAAGTACGCTGTTCTGAACTAACTTGCTCAGTCTTCCCCACTTTTCCGTTGGCACCAAAGGCCAACTGTTCCCAATCACCATCCTCTGCATAAACGAGGATGAGTACAACAAGCTATGCATTATTGCCCTATACACCTACCGCATCACCTGTAAGAAAATCTGCAACCATTACGACATCAGCCAGGCACTGTCACTACTTCACGACTGGGAGTGCATTTCGGAGGTTCTCTCTTCTCCAGGCAGGTTCTATCCAGTGTTCAAAGGCAACGAAGGCCATGAGATGATCACACTTTGCTGGTGCACAGTATTTACCCAACTAACTACCAATATGCGGGTGTTGAACAACCTCCAGGGCTAACGCATATGAACTCTATCAAGGGCAGGCTCGCCCTCATGTTGGCCACAGATGCATTCCACTACTGGAGGCCCTTATGTCCATGATATTGAGAGATAGAAAACCGTGGAGACTTACTGACGTTCAGGAGAACCTCTCCCACTTTGATGCTGAACTTGACAGACTAACATCGAGTTTCTCTTCTATTCAACTAGGTGAACAGACCAATGTGGGTCCTGGTGCAGTTGGCCCCTCAACTCCCAAGAGTAAGCTGCTTTTGCCGATGCGCAAGGTTGCTCCTCTCCCATGCAAGGCTCCATTCAATTCATGCAGTCGCACACCCCTTCAGTTGGCAAAGCTGTGCAGCAAGGAGCCGGTTGTTTTCCCGAGTGACACTGAATATGACTCTGAAATTGAGGTTCTCGAAGATCTTCCCATCAAAGCATCTGACAAGGGCCAAAGTAAGTGTATGATTATAAAGCTTGTGCAAATACTGACGCTATGCTAGGTCTTGTCCCTGGTGATGCTGATCACAGTGGTCGTGTGACAGCATCACCAGCTCCGGCCTCATAGGCCACTTCGGCTGTGCAGACTTCGCCCTCTGAGACTCCAACTCTAGCTGCACAGACCCTGCCCTCCAATTTTCTGATCACGACCATCGAGTTAGATCGCATCTTAGCTCCTGTCCCCTTATCATGCGAAGAGGCAGACGACAGATTAAATGATGAAAGTGAGTATGTTTCATCAACAGTGATTGATTAATCTGACATCATCTCTGGCGCAGAGGGGAACCACAACTTCTATATGCATGTCTGTGACACAGATGGACATGTAACTGGTGCTTACAAGGAGGATCCCAGTCTGTCTCATGTTATGATGCCATCTCTTGGCCCTGTTGTTGATGCATTTCTCGATGCGTTTGGATTCTCTGCCTCCTTTTGCTTTGAGGTGCAACATGCCTTTGAGATCTGTGACAGCATTGAGGACTTTTCAATGTACATGGTAAGGTGGATTCTGCACGCCGAGGCTCATTGGTTCTACTTCCACATCCATGTTAATCCCTTTCAGAAGGAGCCGACTTTCCGTCACTGTCATTACATAATGCCTGTATAGCCGCTGTACCAATCATTTGCATGCCTTCGGTTATTTGTGACATCGCCTTGCTAGTTATTACTTTTTGCGCAGATCATTTAATTTCTCTTGTTTATTGACACTCAACAAACTTGCACATAATGTGGCTAGCCGAAGTTTCGAACACAAGGTGAGTCGCATATAAAATTTTATTCACTTAGCATGCTGTAGCTCTCTCATGCCTCTGTTGCTGCTAACGCTCTGTTATCTGACACTCTGCTATGCCAGAGACAATCCACAAACAAGCAGCACTCCATGACCTCGGCTACCTGACTTGCAAGCCTCTCCAACAGATGGTGCACAGGATTGTGCAACACCGCAAACAACATGTTTGACAGAAGACAACCTGCGAGAAGGAGGCCGCTGCTGCTAAGTGGCATGAGAATAAAGGTAAGATTAACGATGCTGTCGACGCTGTTGTGCAGATCTGCTGGGACAAGGCAGCCGAGATCTACAAAGAGCTCCAGGTCCTGACACCAAAGAAATTTTACGAGCTTATTGTCCAGCATAGAGGAAAGAAGCTCACCACGAAGGCAGTTAGTCTGTGGAATGCATATCTTTGTAAAAAAGCTCAGAAGGTTGCGGCAAGTGCATTGCCTTTCTTTTATTTGTGTATATGTTGACTTACATCTGTTGGTAAAACTTCTGCCTGATGCAAACCGTCCAAAAATCTCTGACATCGTGCATGAGGCAGCAAACGAGTAGGCAGACATGTGCGAAGAATAACACGTTGAGGCCATGGAAGGCATCATTGCTGGGATAGAGGAGTTGCACGAGAACCAGAAGTATGTGATGCACAGCATGGAGATGGCCATGTTCCATGATGTAAGAGCGACGCTAGATCGGTGGGATAACGAGATATGTCTCTTCATCACCATTATGTATCGTGCTAACGCGAACTTCCAGCTTACAGCGCTGAACAGTCGCACGGGCGATGAGATCTTCTACTGTGGGGTACACCCAGACTTCGACCAATATACGAGGCCACGCACGTTCATGACAAGCAAGAACGTTGAAGAGTTCTTTTCTCTGTGTCTGAAGATAGATTGTGAGAAGTCCGCGAAGAAGATGGAGTGCTTCGGTGATAGCATCAGCTCGGCATCCATTAGTAAACGTAGAAGTAATCTTACTCACAGAACATTTTGAGGACAAGCTTCACAATGAAGCTCTTCATTTGAAGATCTTGTAGAGAAGTTCGAGCACACAAGAGAATGAGGGGAATTGGATGATTTTTCTTTTTAATTGTACGAGGCGTACAACGCGTATATATACATGATGAATACAAAGGAGACGTGTGCCACTGCATCACAGACAAAAGGGGGTGGCACCAAAAGCACGCACTATACAGCCACAAACGATATGGCATGAGCCTCTCGTTTGTCAGGTGCACCAAACGTGAACTACGACACTCCCCCTCAACGAGCACGAAGCCCGATTCGAGTGAGTTGCCTCCGTGTGCGGGACGAGTCAGGGCCTTGGTGAAAAGGTCGGCCTGATTGTCTTCAGATGCGCAGTAGGTGACCGTAATCTCGTTGGAGATTATGCATTCACGAGTGAAATGATACCGCACATCGATGTGCTTGGAGCGCTTGTGGAATTGATTGTTTTGCGAGAATGCGATGGCAGCCTGGTTGTCACCGAGAAGGGGTGTCGGGCCGTCTGAGAGTAGTCCCAGGTCGAAAAAGAGAGCGCGAAGCCACACAGCTTCCTTGGTAGCGTGTGCGAGAGCCATGTACTCCGATTCCATGCTCGAGAGTGTGACGGAGCGCTGCTTGAGCGAGCTCTAACTGATAGCTCCCCCTGCGAGCGTGTAAACGTAGCTGGAAATTGAGCGGCGGTCGACAAGGGAAGTCGCCCAGTCGGCGTCGGTATAGCCGGTGGGAACATTGCCATCATCCGACCGATAAGTGAGGCCGAGTGTGCACGTGCCGTTCAGGTACCGGAAAATGTGTTTGACTGCCATGATGTGCGCAGCAGACGGGCGAGCGGTGAACTGGCTAAGGTGCTGGACGGCGAACATGATGTCAGGTCTTGTGCTGACAGCTGTGTACATGAGCGAGCCAATTGCGGCTGCGTACGGAAATGTTGTATCGGGTGCGACGTTCTCGGGTGTGGGCGTGAGGTGGACGTCCGGGTCCATGGGCATGCGGACGGGCTTGCTGTCGAGTATGCTGAAACATTCGATGATGGTTGTGAGGTAGGTGGTCTAGTGCATTGTGTAGATACCGCGTTCACGGTCGATGTCGAATTCGATGCCAATATACTTCTTGATTTCGCCCATATCGGTGACTTCCAGTCGGGATGCAATCTGCTTCTTAACAGTTGTGAGAACGGTGAGGTTCGATGTCATGAGAGACATGTCGTCGACGTGCGTGATGATGAAAATGGAGGCACCATTGAGTGCGCGGGCGTACACGCAGGCGTCGGCAGAAAGTTGGCAGAAGTCGAGAGCTGCGAGCTCGTAGTTGAGTTTGATGTTCCAGGTGCGGCCAGCTTGCAGTAGCCCATAGATAGCCTTGCGCAGTCGCCAGACACGTCCGGTGCCATCGTTGTACTCAGGTGGTTGGACCATGTAGATTTCTTCTTCGAGTTCAGCGTGAAGATATGCTCCAGTGACGTCAAGTTGGTGTATGAAGAGTTGATAGAGTGCTGAGATGGCCACGAGACTGCAGAGGGATTCTTGTCAACAGACTGGTGCGTAGGTCTCGAAGAAATCTTTCCCAGGCTTCTGCGTGAAGCCTTGGCCAACGAGTCGTGCCTTGTACTTGCTGATATCGCCACCAGCCTTCCGTTTGATTACAAATACCCACCGGCAGCCAATGGGCTTGCAGCCCGGGGGCAGGTCGACCAGCTCGTAGGTCGATAGTCGATCCAGCTGTGTGATTTCGGCATCCATGGCGGTCTTCCAGTGTGACCAGTCGGGTCGCGATTTGACTTTGGGTACGCTCTGCGGCTCGTCCGTGTAGGTGTGGAAACATGCTTCGCCAGCCACGAAATGCGCCTTCGTGCTGTCGTCATCCGCTTTGGGCTTCCGAACCTGGTAGCCTGCGGCCTCGCGATAGTTGATTGATGCAGGAGTTGCTGAGCGTGCGGAGCAACGAATAGAGGAAGATGGATTGCCAGCGTCGACTTTGATATCATCGGAGGTCAAATCCAGTGCGGGTTTAGCAGAGGTGGGAGATGGAGTGGTGTCCTCGGCCAGAGGACTTGACTTGTCTTGCACGAGCGGCACATTCTCCTCCTCAAGTCGAGGACTCGGCACCTCGGGGATCAGTGGCGTCCTCGTCTTAGGGAAAACGACATTCTGAGACGTCAGAATCTGGCGCGAACGTGAGTTATAGTACCGATATGCCTGGCTTCCATCGCTGAAACCGGTGAACAGGAATTTTTCTGACTTCGCCTCGAGCTTGTTCTGCTGGGTCTCCGGCCTGAGCACCCAGACGTCAGAACTAAACTCGTGTAGGTCGGAGACGTTGGGCACCTTGCCCCAGAAAGCCTCGTAAGGTGTCTTCCCACCCAGTGCGCGCATGGGAGACCGGTTCTTCAGGAAGCACGCATATGCGACAGCGTCTTCCCATAAGAACTTCGGCAGGTTCTTCGCGATGAGCATCACACGAGCATGTTCGACAAGAGTGCGATTTAGGCGTTCGGCAATCCCGTTCTGGGCAGGTGAGTACGGCGCCGTCGTCTCAAGAATGATGCCTTGCTCATCGAGATAGGCCTTGAACTTGCCGTCGACAAATTCCTTCGCGTTGTCACAGCAGACAGCCTTGAGCTTCTTCCCGGTTTGCTTCTCGACGCGGGCCTTGTACTTCTTGAAGTGGTCGAGCGCAGCATCGCGTGACCTCATGAAGCTAATAGTGGAATCGCAGAACTTCGCGTTGGTGAACGACACATAGTACCAATTGCGGTGGATCGATTCAGTCTGCGCTGGAACCCAGGTGTTGAACATGGTGAGTTCGCCAATGTCTTATTACTGCATCTCTGACTCCTTCGGGAAGGGGCATCTAGCCTGTTTTGCCTAAATACAGGGTTCGCATGTGAAATCAAAATCTGAGGACTTGTCGACGTCCATGCTGACCGAGTGCTTCTTGAGATTGCGAAGTTGCGCCTTGTTGAGATGGCCCAAGATGCAATGCCACTCATACCAGGTGCGTCCAGTCTTCGTGACATATGCGGTTGAAACGGCGGGGGTGACGTCCAGCTGATACAGATTATTGAATTTATGTCTGCGTCCGATCGTGCGGTCGCCCTTCTTGATAAAGAAGTCGTCACCCGAGCCGCCAAAGGTGAAACCGGCTTTGGTGAGTCGTCCCATAGATATGAGGTTGCTTGGGAGGTCAGGTGCATGGATCGCATCCTGTAGTGTGACCGAGATGTCACGTTCATTGACCTTGAAGATTACAGGGACAGTTCCGCGTCCGAGTGCTCTACACGAGCCAGCTCCCGAGATCTTGCCATCAGGCGTCTCGTGGTAGGAAGTGAAAAGGGACCGGGCGTGTACGATGTGCGACTGAGTGGCCGAGTCTGCCAGCCATAGGCCCGAGTGCGCAACGAACGTCTGTTCGTTGAAGATGTTGAACTCATAGGAGTCGTCTGTATTGTGATTGAGGGTGTGATGCGCCTTCGACGGCTTGCTGCTGCCGGCGTTCTTCTTCGGTCCACGGCACTCTGACGCGAGATGTCCTTCTTTGTCGCAGTTATAGCATGTTACGCCCTTGCGGAACTTGCCTTTCTTCATGTCTTTGCCTTTCTTCGCAAAGAGCGTCGTCTCGGTGGTCGCGCGTGCCTTCCGACAATTGTCTTCCGCAAGGATGCGACCAATGAGCTTGTTCGTCTTGAGATCACTGGTGTCGAGCGCGCTGACAAATGGGTCCCAGGAGTCCGAGAGGGCGGTGAGCAAGACGAATGCGAAGTCCTTGTCGCTGACTGCCAAATCGAGCGCGACGAGCTGTTCTTGGTAACCGCGCAGCGTGCGGGTCTGCTCCTCAACATTGGAGCCTTCCTCCATCATGTAGCGGAACAGCTTCTGCCGGATGAGGACAGTCGCGATTGGTCCAGAGACCTTGAACATCGCCTGGAGCGTGTCCCAGGCGTCTTTCGATGTCTTTGTGGACATGATATAGGGGATCATTGCCTCCGAGACACGGAGGCAAATCTGGGTGAGTGCCTTGCGGTCCTTCTTTGTCCACTTGTCTTCCTTATCGTTTTCGGATTTCTTTAGCTCCCCCTTAACGATAGGCCAGTAGTCCATGTCGTTCAAGATGTCCTCCATCCGGACCGTCCATGGCACGAAGTTTTCGGGTCCGCAAAGGGGTTCGATGCGGTGGCCGCTGCCACCGTAGATAGCTGTCGTCCATTCACTGTCCGCCGACATGCTGTCGTATCGTTACTCGATAATCGTGCTGATGCGGGTGTTGAGACTTAGTGTGAGAGCGAAATTTCAGGGTGCGAGATAAGTTCATTGATGCGGTCTACGCCGCGGAGCTCATAACCTCTTGTAGAGGAGTTCAAGCACACGAGAGAATGAGGGGAATTGGATGATTTTTCTTTTTAATTGTACGAGGTGTACAACGCGTATATATACATGATGAATAAAAAGGAGGCGTGTGCCACTGCGTCACAGACAAAAGGGGGTGGCACCAAAAGCACGCACCATACAGCCACAAACGATATGGCATGAGCCTCTCGTTTGTCGGGTGTGCCAAACGTGAACTATGACAGAAGAAGCTCCTGATAATGGTTGGTCCTCACACCTAAAGACACATCAGTTTTAGTGTTGAGTGACAGCAGGAGAAGACATACCTTTGACCTCAGCAAGCATAGGTGCCGTGGTCACACCAAAACTTATTGGGAAGATCAACTACAAGATGTTCTCTTGTATGACAAATAAATTTGGTATCATCTGCAACAACTGGCCGCTTGAGCAATTTAGCTGCCCTGGCTCCATCAACTCTATGCCTGAACTTGTTGTTCTCAGGTCTGCCTTCGAGTCCGGTGCCACTAGCTTTTGCAAGCTCAGTGCCGAAGAACTGGAAGCATGGCGCAAGGAACAGTTCGATCAGCTGGTCACAGAGCGCAACACAATCGAGCAGAAGACAGCAAAGCCACGGGTGACACCTTTGTCCCCCATTACCTCACCATCAGCCGCCTCTACTGATGACATGCCATCAGTAGCAGCTTCTGTTGCGCCACCACCAATGCTTGCCACCACTATTTCTGCGCCACCACCAGTGCCTGCTACCACTACTGCTGTGCCATCATTGTTGCGCCGCCATTAGCACCTGCTGCCACTGTCATGCCATCATTGATGGCTTCCTGTATGATGCTGCCCGCACCTGCCACCACCACTGAACCATTTACGCTCTCCTCTTCTGTCTCTGCTGCCTCATTGTCTTCTGTCTCTGTGACCTCATTGTTATCACTTGTCTCATTCCTATTGCTGTTGTTGCCATTCACTACTGCTTGCCTTTCTCCGCTCTGAGCACTGTCTTGAGCAACTGCCGTGCCTCCCTCAGCTGTGGGCTTTGGCATATTCCAGCTACACACCGGGAAATGAAAGCGCCAGACTGATCAGTCAGCGAGCCAATAAGTGCCACCGCGAAAGCGGCGCTCTGATGCAGGCAAGAAGTGTGGTCTGAATAAATGGACTCTGGAGAAGCAGCTCGACGTTTAGACATGAAGTTGAGGTAATGCTGTCAATAACAGCGATATTATTACTACTATTCTATGTACATTGTGCGGTACTAATGCATTGTGCTAATGCCCTTACAACTGGCGCACGCAATGATGTCATTGCCTTGGTGGCATTTGATAGTAACATGGCGGCAATGAGAACCACACGAGAAGCTAATGTCAGTGTGCAGAGCTCACAATAGCTGCAAGCCAAGGCACACGTTTGATGCCAGGGAACGCTGGCGGAAGGCAGAGTCAGGTGCAACGCATCATGTCATTCTGCTCATTCCCTGCTCTGCCCAAGCATAATTCTTTTATTCTATTGTTACAATGACATACATTCGACTAGCTAAACAAAAAGAATTGAGAAACGAAATGGCTAGAGGTGAGGAGAATAGTGAGAAGGCACATCTGATGGCTACGGCTGTCAATAGCAGACACTAGTAGGAGGGCGCAATCATATGGAAGCCAAGGAAGGACGGTAGAGCGTGATCACCCGGGTTGGCAGAAGGAGCAGAGGTGCTCGGCTATTTGGTGTGAATGTACGTCGGCAGTGCCAATCGGCTTGACAGGCTGCTCTCCCACTGCAGTTGCCAGATCGCCCACCCACAATGCCTTTGTTTGGTTTACCAGTAGGTACAAAATATGTAATCAGTACTATACAGCTGTGAAAAAATGAAATGAAATGGCCAGAAACTGGAGGAAAGAGCCGGGGGTGGTTTCAGACAGTAGTCAGCACTGTCTCAGACAGCGAACAGGCACATCTGATGGCTGAGGATGCTGGAGGGAGGCGGGGGGCTGGGCGAGATCATACAGCCAATGGGTGGAGCTGAAACATTCGGCTGTTTGGCGTGAGCACGCCCCATCAGCATCGCTGCAAATTGGCTTGGCAAGTGCTCTCCCACCTCTTGTTGCCGCCATGTTATCCTGCCCGCACACCATTTGCAAATTGAGCTGAAGCAATAGAATTGAATTTATTAGTAGTATACAGTAGTGAAAGAATAAATGAAAACGAGTAAGAACTGGGAAAGATAGGTGGAAGGCGGCCTGGAACAGTCATCAGCATCATATCAGACAGCGAGGAGGTATGATTGATGGCTGGAGATGTGGGCGGAAGACAGGGAATGGGTGGGATCATGTGATTGATGGAGGGACGGCGGCGCAAACGTTATCGCAGCACTCGGGGCAGTTAGTGCAGGGACTTAGAACATGTCCCCCAGGGCATATGTAAGGCATCTACTCTACAAAGCATGGAGAAGATAACTATGATAGTTATTAGCAAGCGTGTGGCAGACAAGAATTTTAAGTGGAGGAGCTTTGCAAAGGGGGGGGGAACTTGCCAAGCGAAGTTGTTCTGATTTTAGTGAGGCTCAGGTGACACCGTGTGTGAGAGCGGTAGCCTGATGCCTGTTTAATTAATTAATTGTCAGGATGGCGCCACAAGAATGTAATAAGACTACTTACTTGTCTCGAAAGGCCCCAACGTCATTACCCGGGCTAATGCTTTTGTCCATTCTGCGTGTTATGATGTACAAACCAGTGGTTGACCGGCTGAGCATGCTTGGACGAAGATCGTAGATAGTCCACTCGGATGCACCGATAAGGCCAGACTGTCTCATGCAGTCACCAGCATCACCATTATAACCAGGGCAAGCTGGTGTTGATGGCAGCGGCTGCAAACAGGGTGCATTGGCACCTTGAGATGGTGTCAATGGCTGCTGGTGGGGCACGTCGGCATCTCGAATGAGAGTGGCCTTCTTGCAAGGCAGCTTTGTGCTGCCCAAAATTGTGAGTTCACTGGTGAAGCCATTCACGCAAGGCTACTCACTGGATACAAGCATACTTAGAGGTGGACTCAGGCTCAGTGTCAGTGTTGACCTCGACAATCAATTCCTCATTGTTGGACATGGGCTCAAGAGGGGGCAGAAAGGCAGTACAGCATCTGATCGCCTCTGAGAAGACAGAGATGTGGTGCGCAGAGCACAAAATGTCGCAGATGCAATCCGGGGAAGGTTGGCTGTGCATGACCAATGAGAGAGAGAGTTGGTTGGGACTAGCAAGCATGGCGACATGCCTGATATACCCTAGAAAAATTTCATATTAGCCGTGGGAGCAACTGCAAAGTGGAGAAAGGTGCAACATTACATCTGCTAAGACTGAACTGAGCCGAATGGCAGTGACACGGCGTCTTCAATGTCCGTAATGGTGGCATGCCGTGCATAATTACCTGACGCTGCGTGAGCCCTCAAAAAATATTACCACAATGATGAACACGCCAGACATACCTGAGCGCGAGGAAGCCGCCATGCACCTGCTAGATATGGTGTCCACATCTGCCAACCAGAGAGTCGCATCGGTCAAGCCTTCTACTGGCAAAAATATGTCTCTGCAGGACAGAGCTGTGCTTGAGCATGCCAAAAATCTGCTAAACGTACCTCCACATCGGTTGAAGACGAGGGCGGAACGCGACACAGCAAAGGGTGAAAGCGCTGGAAACTCTGGTCATTTTCACAGTGAGGCAGTCGCTTACCTTTCAAAGTACATCAAGAGATACAATGACATTGACAAGATGGCAAAAGGGAAGAACACGCACCTGGGAAACTTTTGGCAGGACATGAGAGCCGGGTTTTGGGAGGTCATGACCATCACAAAGGCTAGAGAGGGTATGAGTGGAGCTGCAGGGTTATCAGATGATGACATAGTCAACACTACTAATGAGGTAAGCATGTCATCAATGACATGAATTGGCCAGCTCACGTACCTCATGTAGTCAATGAAAGCATTCTACTGCTGGAAGAGCAAGACCACAAGTGACAGCAATTCCAATCCATGAACTGCTGTCTTTCATGACTTCATCTCTCAGACTACTAAACCACATGCAATGCCACTATAACAGTACTACCACATTAAACATGGCGATTGGGTTACTGAGGAATACAACTGTCGCGGTGGCAGTGCAGCAGCAGATCAGCTGAAGGTTCGCAATGAGATCATGCACGATTTGTTTGATGCACTGCCGAGGGACGAGAAAGTAGCCTTGGAGAAGGAATACATGGCCAAGTTTGAGGCAAAGATAGACGAGTGGGAGCAGGGTTTAGGCATGGCAAACGTGGAGAATGCGGTAGTATCTTCTGAAATGCAAGCAGAGTGAGCATTTATTATGTATGAAATAATATATATGTGCTAATCTCACATAGAGCTAGGGCTCGTCTACCGCACTTTGTTGTCCTGTTGTTGAAATGCATCGCACATCACACTGGCATGCCATGTATATTTTTGACTGCGGGCACGGCACCAGAAACGTGCAATGGCGGCTATCGCTTTCTCAGGGTGCACGTTGGAGAGAGCCTTGGTCTCTTGCCAAGAAATTTCAGCAAGTTTGACTCAGTTGGCTATACCCAAAACATTATTGAGCAGTTCATGATATTCGTCCAATCTACATCAGGTGAGTAGCAAATTCCTTGAACAAGTATAAATACTGAGACATACTGTAAGAGGTGACGAGGCTCAGCTCTAGAGAGCAGCCGGTTCACGCCGAGAACACCACCACCTTTCAAGTTCAGCTACACAACCCATTCAAGCAAGAGCACCAGGATTGCACGAAGGAGGCTGTGTCAAAGGCAAATGAGAAGAAGGAGAAGGAAAAAAGGTTGAAGAAGTGTTCTCCTACTGCTGCACAAGAGTCTGGAGAGAGTGCCGTGCCTCCAACGGCTGCTAATGCTCCTGATACTACGTCTCACACATGTACACCACCTTCGAACGCCGCAGTTGCACCCCCTGTTCCTGTGGTGGATTCATTAGCAGCAGCTTTTGTCGAAGGAGAGAACGCCCACCAGACTAGCCATTCAGCTAACCGTTCAACGAAGAAGTCTGGATTGAAGAAGAAGGCGGCAGCAGCAGTGGCATTGTCAGAGAATGCAAATGGGGCTTCGAGACATGAGGTCGAGCTGCTGTCAGAGGGTAGAGGACAGAGAGAGATTGCAAGGCTTGATGCTTTGAGCCTTGAGGGGGTGGAGAGAGACCGTGTGACACCAGCCGTGCATACCAATTTGTCTGACACTCAGCCAATGTTTGCAAATCCAGAGCAAGGCAATGATGTGTCTTCTTCACAGGATCCCGCACTTGCTAGTCCATTCACAAGCACACCTGAAGCTCAAGATGGCTCCCTGCTTGCAGAGTTGCTAGAGCTCCCTGGTCTGATGCCCTTTGTGTCTGATCTGCACAGGCTGCCTATCCTCCCTGATGACCCCAGCGCACCTGTACCATTTGGCCCACCTGAGAATAACTTTGATGGTGTCAGCTTGTTCATTGATCCAGAGCTCCCAGCATCGTTGCTGATTGCAGGCGTAGATGTTGGGATGACGGCGCCTGAGATTGTCACAGCCAAGCAAATCTCGGCTGTTTCCGGACAGGCTTTCGATGCCTTACCCACACGCGCTGCGTCCTCTTCAATTCATTCCACTGCTACAACGCTTTCGAATGCTTTTCCTTTCTGTACACGTCCAGCTGCCCTCCTTGTCATTGCTTACACTCTAGCCGCTCTGACCTTTAATGCACCTTTGGTCGACTTCAGCCCCAGTACGCCTGCTCTATCAACATCGTCAGGTGGTGCCACCTCTTGTTTGACCTTGCCTGTATCTTTAGAGGCCGAGGTCAACCTCAGTGAATGTCCAGGCTGGCTATCACAGCACTACCAGACATTTGCTGATGAAGATGTTCTGGATGGGATCGCTGCAGAATGGATGGGGCTGCTGCATGGCTGGGTCGCTTACAAGTGCAAGATGCAGTTTGCTTGCCCAGTATGTCCTGTCACCTTTTCATTGCTGCGCTTCAACTAACAGCCTCCAGCACTTGGGTTTTGCGTCAGCGGATTGCCCTGAAGAAATCGCCCTGTGGATGAAGATCGCACGTGGCGGTCGCATCATTATAAAGAAGCCCACGGCGTATGCCCTACAGTTGCATAAGTGGTGAAAATGCATCAATTCCAAATGACGTACAGAGATCGACGGTACCCTGACTATTGGAAGCAGCAGTGACTGGAGCTGCATGCTTGTCCCTGGCACTAATGGGTTTCTCAACATCCTAGGAAGCCTTTTGGGCCTTTGAGATGTTGAGAATGACGATGACAAGTGGTCCGCAACTGTGCAAGATGTGCGCTGGGTTATGAGCGAAGTTCTGAGCTGCAAACATGCTCGTGGGTGAGTCACTAATGTTCTGTAGCATTGTGTTACCAACTGCATGTCCCACAGAGCCAAACGTGCCCAGGAGGCTGAACCGGCCAATTCTGCTAGCAAGGAAAAGTGCTCCCGGCGCAAGTAGAGGCTGTACATGTGTCGGTGTGCTGCCGTGCTGCAACCAGAGTATCGCCGCACAACCACACTGTTATTCCTTGCCTATCCTATCGATACCTTGCGAGAAGTAGTATATATACCATTAATACATGCACATTCTTAGTGTCAAACATAGCAAAAGCCTGAAAATGATAATTTGTAAAGTATCTATAAACAGTATGTTATTCTCATGACATAGCCAGAGGCCACGAGCAATGTTTGCCACTGGAAGCCTATGCAAAAGAGCACCAGAGTGCCATAATCACCTCAGCTCTGGCCTAGTGAACACTACAGAGCAAAACATAGCTGAGAACATGCCACACGAGGACTACTGGTGCTTACTTAAGCCTTATATTGAAGGCTGACCACAAGCGAGGCCACGGAAATGGCACAGAAAGTGCGCAAGCCAGACTTGAAGACTGATACATCAAGCCTGTAAGAGCCCCTTGTCATAAAGAAAAGGTTAGGATAAAAAAAGTAAGTAAAATAAAATGAGGCTTGATATAAAGAAGATTCTAGGAGAATCCTAGAAGGTTACTTCTTGATGAAAGGGAATGGAGTTTGGTCTGAATTTCTAAACTAAAAGCAAGAAGGATATAGTATGGAATACTTAGATTTGGTTTTCTCAATCTTTTCTTTCCAGGGTTCACTGGGTTAGCCTTTCAATCAAGCTATCCTGGTGTTCGTGGAGAACTAATTCAAAGACCACCTACTAATCTGCTTGAGTACTCTAAAGCCTCACTTGCCTGTTTACAAGGGAATTTTAAGGAATCTTAGAAGATGGGCTGTGAGAAGGTTTGGTTAGTAGCTTAAGGACTAGCTACTTGGGTTAGTAGAATAGAGTTTTTAGATAAGTAAGATAAGAGGGTAACAAAGACAAGTTAATGTCTTGGTTAACTTAGTAAGCTTTGGCTAGTAGAGACAATTCAATGTTCTTAGAGGATTTGTATAACTTGAAGCAATCTGAAGCTTTCAATTTAGAGTTAAAGATCAAGAATAGATTTAATCTCTTTACTGCTAGTCTAATTACTGTAAGCTCTACAGGAGACATACCACAGTTTCAAATAATGATGCCACTAGCTCTTGCAGTCTAGGATTAGTCAAATAGTGAACTCGTGCACTATACCAAGGGCATTTCCCTTCAGGTTATTTGAAAGTCAGAGGCTCTACTGTGCTTGAGGAATTTCCTAGGCTTTAAAAAAAGGAGTCTATTCTCTAAGAGCTAAAGAGCTCAGAGTATTAACTGTAGGTTTGCTGCTAGCTGAATCCTTGAAAGTGTGTGTGGTGCTTGGTGGGTTGGTGTCCTTTTTGCTCTCAGAGAACCTCTCCTATTTATACCTTTCAGCCTGTTGTTCCTTAGCCAATAGCAAAACTGGCTCTTCTATTCTACTGTAATTACTAAGCTGCTTCTACTTTTATTAATAAGCATTTGTCTGTATTAGTCAGCCTTCTGTCTGTTTTACTAATGTATTGGTAAGCTATTGCTAATGTTTGTTAGAGTATTACTATATTTTGGTAATTCATAGCTGTTGAGCATAGACCTTTATTACTAAGCATAATTTAGATTACTAAGAAGCTGAGTCATATTATTAGTCGTTGATTCACTTTTAGTAAGCTTTGAG